ACCTATTCTTTTGACTATTCCTCTCTTAGGTTTTGCAGAAATTTCAGTCACTTTTCTAAAAACTAATCCCTTATAATCTAGTTTATAATTTTTTTGCTAATAATATTTGAGTATAAAGCGCCTGTCATTTTGAAGAAAATCATATAACTGATCTTTTTCATGTTTGATATTGCAAATGAGACATGCTTCTAATGATTAAGTTTGAAAGTTAATAAATCCCTTTCTAATGTCACTAATCTCAAGCTATTCATATTTTATGGTAACTTCACTAGCTCCCTTGCTTAAAGCAGTTTCATTTTTGATAGGTTAGAATTCATCCTTTTCTGACTTTTCAGAAAAAAAGGTTTGTGATCAGATTTTAGAATAAACAGATTTAGATTGAACTAAATAATCTTCTAGCTTACGATATTTTTGTTTAATTAAAGAAACTGCAGGTCTTTTAACTCTATCTTTCTTTACTAATCTAAGAAGCTGAAGACTAAAACATAATTTATAAAGCCTAAGGTCATAAATTCAGAGTATAGTTTCCCAACCCTATCAGCAACTTTTTTTATAAATCCTCTAAAGTCTTTGTAATTAACAAACTGTGTATATTTATATATAATATATTAACTGCATTTATTAGTATCAGATAAACTGGCTAAGGTAAAAGCATCTAATATTGCAAGATGGTTTAAATCAAAATATAAAATATTAACACAGGCAATTAAGATTCTTGGTAATAAATCTTTACAAGAAATTTTATTTTCATCTAAGAAAGGGAATTCAGAATTCATAAGATCAGACTTTTGCCTTGCATCAATATCTAAAACTAAACAAAGAGGTAAATTTCCATCAATGCACTTATGGGTATCAGGTAATTCATAAACTTCAGATAGATGATCAACTACTATAAAACACTTTCTTGCTACCTGAACTATATATTTATTAAAAATCTCTTCAAGATAATAGATACTTAGAAGAGAAATATTATTTTTATAATTAGACAGATATTGAAAGTATACATGATCATTATAATCAGGTTTATAGTCAAAGTTCACTAAATAAGAGAAGCGTCTGGTTGCTTCATTTATTATTTTAGGGTGAGGTCTAGCATTTTTTTGTGTAAGTAGCATGATGTATATTCAAGAAACTAATATAAAATTACATAAAAACTTGGAAAGTTTAAAATAAAAAAGTATATAAAGCTGACTTCCAATCTGATTATTAGCAAGAATATACAATAAATATACTAAATTATATTAAATTATACTTGAGTAGCCTATTAATGTGATAATATTTTAAAGTAATTAGCTAAAGACACCCAGATAAGTAGTAATTATGTAGGAACAAAAATTATAGGCAAAAACAAGCAAGTTTATGGTAACTTACTAATAATGAGAGATGAAACTCCTTAATAATAGTCAAAACTTAGACGAAACTATATTAAAATCATAATAAGGAATATAATGAAATCCTTTTGATATGATAAAAGCTGAAACTGTCGAAACTATATTAAAAATATAGAAAAGGGTATGATGAAATTATTTTGAGAAGGTTTTGGCAGACATCTATATAACTCACTTAAGTAGAATTATATATAGAAAAGAAAAGAGAAATTTTACTTGAGTGGCCTATCACTAATAGGTAGAAAAGAGATTGGAAAGGCAGAAAGATTCAGAAGAATACATGAAAAATGGTATAAAAGCAATATAGCCTGAACTAATTCAACACTTCGTGTCTTATTCTTAGCAATCAAAAGGATCACAAAAGGTAGGATTGCAAGAATAGCATAACATCAGCATTTCACATGTGTCTCATTTGACAATCAAAAAATGGCAATTGAAAAGGAAAATATATAGGCTGATCAATATAATACAAATTACACCTCCAATATTCTAACCAACTGATCACCAAATCAAACTTTCAAAAGTTACTCAAAAATTACTTGAAAGTGATAGAAAAGTGCCTAAAACTGACAAGAAACTAATTAACGTTAGTAAGACACAGTAAATTTTATTAATTTCAGCCAGTACTATTCCATATTTTTTTAAAATTTTGAACGTAATAATTCAGCATTCAGATACCTGATCTATGCGATCTTAATATCATTAAAAAGCTCTTAACGTCCTTATCCAAATAAGCTTAAAATTGCATAAATCTAATCGCAAATTTCAGCTGAAGCCCCTGACTAAAAATACATATTTTTTCTCTAATCACAATATGATTTTTAGCAATAAATGTCAGTTTAGCATCTTGGTTATAAAAAGGCTAGAGCAATAAAAACAAGCGAATAGCTAGAAGGTAATAAAAAGAGAATAGAGCAATAAAATTAAGCAAATATTTACAAAGTAATAAAAAGACTATAGAGCAATAAAAACAAGTGGATATCAATAAAGCAATAAAACGGTCATAGAATAATAAAAATCATAACTAAGTAACATTATACTCATAACTAGATAACATTATAGTCCAACTGGATAACACTTTTATAAGAGTATTATCCAGTGCTTTAAAAGTAAATAAAAAAAACATAGAAATAGGTAAACATATAAATAATTCTTTAATAATAAAACAGACTCAGAAATAGATTAATATATAAATAGTTTTTAATAATTAAAAAGATACAAAATAAGCTAATATATAAATAGTTTCTTATTAAAAAAAATATGCAAAATAAGCAAGAATATAACAGTAGTTAAATTAAAAGTAAAGTAGTAATTATATCATAAAGTAATAATAAAATCATATTAATATAAAAATACTAATAATAGGAAAGATCTAAAGAAATATCTAGAATATTAAAAGGAATAATAAATTAGGTACAAGTAAGTTATGTAATTAGATTATAATATCATAATTAGATCAAATTTATTAGGTCATAAATAATTAAATCATATATGTATTATCTAGATTATATTATAATATTTAGATCACATATGTGTCACATAGGTTATATTGTAGCAATTAAATTATATTATAATAATTGAATTATATATTTATATATTTAATTACAAATAATATTAATAAATAGTAGTTTTTTATTATTTTTATTAAAATTAAAATATATCTAAATAATTCTTATAATAATAGTTCTTTATTTGAATATATTATTTTATTTTATTATATATATTTATATTTATATTTAATAATTTATTTATATATAAAAACTTTACATATTTTTATTAATTAAAATAAAGTTTTAAATATAAAATTTGGATAAATTTTATGATTAACTATATAAATATTCAAACCTTAATTTATAATAAAAAATTTTTATTTTAAAATTTTTTTTACGGTATATTATTTATATTATTACATATTTTAATACAGAATCGGTTTAACAATTTCATAAAGAATGATACAATAATGATAACATATTTTAATTAATATAATTGTGATTATACGGTAATTATATAGTGATTATGTAAAGATTATTATTAATTAGGAGATTATACTTATTAAGAAGCGAATTATATAGAGATATAACCTAATTTTTATTTATTTGTGTAATATATATTTAATAAACAGTTATTTACATGAAAATTTTTTTAAATGTCATCATAAAGCTAGCCATAACGAATTAAAATTTTTGAAATATGATTCATGTAAATCGCTCTTGTTACATTTCTAATTAGTCATAATATATATATTCGTGTAACATTGATGTTTACCGATCCAAAAAAAAAATTTATAAAAATTGTTATCAGATCGGCTTGTATTTTTTTTGAATTCCAATTGTGGTTTAGTTTTGTGACAACTAGTAAACTAGATAAAACTTATAACGTTAATCTGATAAAATAGATAAACCATTTCAAGCATATCAGATTTTTTGCGTCACTCATCGTATTAGTAATTCATTAATCTGATAAGGCCTTTTTTTTTGTTTAGGGATCTATAAATATCTGGAAAATTTCACCTCCCAAATAACAAAATAAAAATAACCTCTTTTTTCTTACTTCCCGTTTGTTTTTTTTTTTTTTCCTTCAAATTTATTAAAAAAAGAACATGTTGCGCTCAATCTTAAGACGAAACGTTAATTTAATTTCTCAAATTAATACGACTGCTAGTTCAAGCGTTCGTCGTCCTATAGCCTTTAATCTTATACGGTCATACCATGAAAAGGTCAGTTTAACAGGCTTTGACGAAATTTGCTCTCGTCCTTTGAGAAATTAAATAGAACTTATTTTATTTAATTATATAGGTAATTGATCATTATGAACGTCCTCGTAATGTTGGAGCATTACCTAAAACGGACCCCGACGTAGGAACTGGGCTTGTTGGGGCACCAGCTTGCGGTGATGTTATGAAACTTCAAATTCGAGTTGATGAACAATCTGGTAAAATTGTTGACGTAAAATTCAAGACGTTCGGGTGTGGTTCTGCAATTGCTTCTTCAAGTTACATGACGGAACGAGTACGAGGGATGTCTTTGGATGAAGCTGGAAGAATAAGAAATACTGAAATTGCAAAAGAATTATGTTTACCACCTGTTAAACTTCATTGTTCAAGTAAGTTTGATAGTTTTAATTATACGTTCACTTTTCTATGAATCTGGTATATTAATTAAAATTTATTCTTTTAGTGCTTGCGGAAGATGCTATTAAATCTGCTATCAAAGATTATAAGAGTAAGCGTAGTATTGCATCTGTATGATGCTAAAATTTATTAATACCAACTTTTAAAACTTGTAAATTGTAACCTGAAAGATAATACAATTATAAAAAATAAAATTATGTATAAAACATTCAATGAAATAAATCTTTATTAAATATAAAGCTTTCAGTAAATGCTAATTCTAATGATTTAATTACAAGAAATATATATAAAATTATTTTTTTTTCCTTTTTTTCTTTTTGAAAATTATTCAATAAAAACTTTTTTTAAAAAAATGAAAGATTAAAAAAAATAAAAATAAAAATAAGAGAAACTTTCTACATATAATATAATAATGTATATATATATATATATATATACAGTATATATAGTATTAATAAATTAAAGTATAGGAAAAGAATGTCTCATCCCGAAAGTGAGGAATAAATGAACAAGGTAGTGAATGGGTATTGATCACCATTTAAATCGTTAAGGGGAATATGGCGATAACCTATTTTTAGTAAATAAAATAAAATAAAATAAGATTATGCATTAAATGAATCCATGATAAAATAATCTTTTGGAGCTTTACCTTGTTGTAAACTGGCTATTGGGATACAATATGATGCAATAAAATCACTCGTCCTTACATCTTGATCCCATACGACAAATCTATAATAAATTTTAACAAATTACATGAGTAATTGAAATAAATTGCAAGCAAATTTGCACGCAAAAAACCGATTGATGGATCTATAATGATTACCGTAAGAACACAAGTTCCAAATATTCAAAATCAATGGTAAACGTCAATGTATCGTTCCAAAATGGGTTAAACCCGTTATCATCTATTATAGACGTCTTTTTTTTAACGACATCTGCGCCTGGAACCAATAATTCTATTTCAACAAATGGATCGATAATTTCCCCCTTGACCACATCTTTAGGTCTAGGAAGTTGTTGAGCAGATATAACCTATTTATTTTATACATAAGTATAAAAAAAAGTTAATATTAATTTAAAAATGATATTAAATATATAATTTTTTTTAATCTTTATTTACCGTAATGTTCAGAGTTTGTGTTGATTTTGTTGGGGAAACAGAAATATTAGGTTCGATACAACGCATACGTTCAGGTTTAAGAACATATCCACATCTTCCATTAACAGCGAACATGGCTTGGTTTATTTGCATACCTAGATCTGATAAAAGTCGGCTAAAGTTAATGAAAACTTGTATCATAATTTTAAGAAGTTAAACGAAATAGTAACTAACCAAATGTCTGATAATTCAAAGCTACCATTTGACTTCCAACCATCCAATGAAGATGTGGCTCATAATTTGATGAACTTATACGAAATCCTGCTGGGTAAATACGCGACAAATGTCGTGAATTATGTTGAATAAAAGAATGCTTTTCTGTTTTGCAAAGTCGATTTGAAACTCGCTCGGAAAATGAAGACATATGGTAATACATAGATTTCTCTAATATGTATTATGATAAATTATCTTTTATTAATAACACTATTTCGTAATATAAAGCTAGGTGTTCAAAATAGTCTTCATAGGAGTTTTTATACATACCGCGATGATATTCAAATCCTTTGAATTTGACAGCCGAACAATAAATTACTAAGTCAGAGAGAGCTTTGGAAACCCTTGATTTCCCCTTATTAGTTTGTAGCTTATCTAAACGTAAAATAAAGGTCAGAGTTTAATATTAAATCAAGTCAATTGTGAACAAAATATAAATTACTTGCCTTTTGATGATTCAGCATCTGATTCGGTATCTGTAGCCGACTCAGTATCTGTAGCAGAATCAAAAGAATCTTCTGTGGCATCTGGTGGGAGATTTTTTCCCTATTAGAAGCAGGAAATTTAGAAATTATTAATGATTTCCAGAAAATTTGGTTAATTTTTTTTTTTTCAGCTTACTTTTAATAGAATTTTTTTCATTAAACTTTTAGGACTGGGCAATTCAGGTTCAGTGTTTAAGAAACTGGTGACAAGATACTCTCCTAAAGTACCAGTTAAAATTGTTGCCATCATGTTTTGCTGCTCAATAGAACAATGAACTTCAAGTGACAAAATCAATGGATAAGGACTAGCATGAAACGCATATGTGCGAATAGCAGAAATAACATCCTTAAATAAAATTTTCGATGTCCTAATCGCATTTAAAGTAAAATAATTAGTTACATTAAATCGAACGTAACGAAGAAATAATATGCGCAGTATCAGTTTTGTAACTCACAATGTATGACCATGCGTAACTATAGGTTCATCAGGTCCATCCCAACAATCAACTATATTGTAAAATGAGAGGTAATTTGTTAAATAATCCTATACCAAGAATATAGAAATAACGAGGAAAGTGGTAACACATACTTTCAACACACCGACAGCCACGTTGCAAAACACGTATATAACCTTCTATAGAAGACTCCCCTGTCAACTGGTGACCGAGAAGGTAACTATTTTAAAAATTATTTAATTGATTGATTAATTTCAGAAATATTGAATACAATTCAGAAATATATTAACATACGTATTATGAGAAGAATCGATGAAATAATGATTCAAAGGACGCGACATGTCTTGGTTGACTTTGGTGTGTTCTAAAGCAAAAACAGAATTGTCGCCAGACATCAAAAAGCTACTAAAGCCTTCAAGATTCATCATTTCCTTACGGTCTTTATTGCAGAATTTGTAATAAAGACTATCGTAATCTTCTTCCTTCAGATTGCACTAAACAATAATAAAAAAAGTAAAGCATAAAACACAATTCATTTACAATTAAAATGATGATTTACATACTTTTTGTTTATCCAACAGAAAATTTTTGAATTCTTGCGGTGTCAGGGTATTTCTATTTTTTTGAGTTTTTAACTGATCAAAAAGTTCAACTAATTCTTGTCGCTTCTTGATTATCCTTACAAATTGTTGAAAGTCAACAAAATTGAGATATTCATGGTTATGTTTATCAGCTTCCTAATAAGTCGTAATTATTAAATATTAATAAATGACATCATCGAATGATTGTACACCAAAAAGAAAAAAAAAAATTTATAACTTACTTGAAATTTTTCCTTTAATAATGTCTTTGACATATTTATGTTCAATTGATGACATAATCTAGCAACTTCCTCAAATGTTAATCTTGAGTTTCCGTCCTTGTCAGCTTGTTTCCAATATTGCTTCAGCCAAATAGACTGTTTTTCTTCAAAACTTCCTAATCCTCGCATCATTTCTCTTCTATGTAGATATAATCTTTCCAAATGATCCACCCATTTATTGAATAATTCACAAGTATCGGCAACAAGATGAAGAATTTTATATTTTCCAGCCTCAACATAAACTATTGTAAACCATCGAGGTTCATGATCACAACTCATCTTGAAATGCTCCCGATAATTACGAATTGCTTCACCAGTTCGAATTTCCTTTATATTTTCAATGTTCACTATTAAAAGATAACTTGCATGAGATATTATATAGAATAACTAAAAAATGAACGAGAAAAAATCAATCGTAAATACCTTTTCCAGATTTTTTTGAATCCCATAAAATGCGACACAGTTCAACATCAATTCTAAATTTCCGCAATTGTTTCTTTTTTGCCGTAACTTTCGTAAGAATAGTACCTTCAACAATGCATGGATCAACTAAGATCTCTTCAGTGTGACCATGACGAACCGAAACTTCTGATTTAAATTTTTTATTGAAACGTTCATTGTCATATGAAGGTATAATTATTTCTCCATTAGGTACTACTACAGATTCTACGGCTGAATCAAGAGATGTAGAACTTTGTAAAACCGAATCATTATTTCTATTTTGTTTGATAATTGACTTATACTCTGAAGTGTCTAATGGAAAGGTACGAGAATGATGCAATGATTTTGAAGCCGACGATCGTTGATTTCTTGACAAACCGACATTTGAGTGAGATCTCGTTAAGTTGTGATTTGATTCGAATTCTAAACGTAATTCGTTTTGATAAATAATGGAGTCACTATGCCTCAATTCACTCTTAAATTTATTTTCAGATGTCGATGTTTTCGACACGTGACTAAAATCAATAGAAAGTTGCGCGGGCTCAGCAAAATAACTCGCAAGGTTGAAATTATCAGCAACATCCGTTATTTCAATCTGTTGTGACAGGTTTGACGCTTGAGAAATTGATTCATAGATAGAAGTAACATTTTCCGCATTATGATAGCTGGTATTGTTGAACGAATCTACCTGGTTAGAACTTGAATAAACTTCAATAACCTCTATATTATTTTGATCTAAAGTAATACCAAGCGAATCTTTTTCTGGAATTTTTATTGACGGCTCTTCCTTACATCTGCTTGCTTTCGAATAAATTTTCGCGTCTGCATGTTTATCGTTTTTCAACGCGTCAACATTAGCGGTTTTGTCGGTAGATCCTTTATCTTTGGCCAGCGAACTTTTCGGTTGTTCCATTTTAGATAACTTTTCCGGTTTGGAAGGAGTGGTAAACGTCTTCAAGCTTTGCTCACAGTCGAGGAATTCCGAACTTGTTTCGATAACTTCTTTGTTGGACTTTTGTTTTTTTTTTGACACTTTTTTCCGCAAGGCCAAAAAGGCCAACACGGTACGAACAAACATAGTTCAAATGAGAGAGAAAACGCATGAATGAAAAAATAGTGAGTAATACATTCAACTCTCAAATATGCTTTGCTTGGATAAATAATTTAAAAAGTTGAAGGGAAGGCGAGGATTTTATAAATCTCAAACTGTGGCTGAATACCGTCAAATCCCATCAATATTTTGTGGAAAATTACCGGTGAATTTGCCATAATCATTTGCTCATTCGAGGGAAGTAAAAAAGAATCCAATTAAAATTTAAATTTCTCGGTTACACATACCTATTATATTTGGTTTTTGTTATTTTGACAAAGACAAAAAAAAAAAATATTCAACCGAGGGGAGAAGGTGAAATTAATTAAAGCCAAAATAAATAAACAGTTTGTGGGTCGCTCAAAAAGCTACACAAGGCTTCCTTCTCCCGTTCGATAGTTAAAAAGTCATATTTGGTCCACAATTCTATGTTGAGTTACAATATATCAATAACATTTAGTTCGTATGCATTTAGGGAATCTGTGTCCTATAGAATTGATTTTCAACACTTTAAATTAAAGAAAAAGGGAAATTTTAAATGAATTTCTAAAACACGTGATATAGATCGGTTATGGTATGAATATTCTTAAATCGCGAAACAAGGAATTTTTTAATTTATTTTAAAAAATATAAAAAAGTACAGTAAAAAAAAAATTTATTTTTAAATACATGATTTTTATAAATCGGAAAATAAAGGTAAAGTATGTAAGAGTGATACAAGAAAAGTATTCCCACTTTCATGTGATATCTTGGTGACATTTGTAAATAATATATAATATTGGGCTCATTGCATTGAATAAGCATTGCATCGTTTATTATGCATCTAATTTCAGCCAAAAAACGTTAAAATAACAACCTTATTGTTAATCGGATTACAACTATTTGACATCATGACTATGACTTTTCGTATATTTTTTTATTTCTTGATTTCAGGTTGTCAAATTGAAAATGATGTAAAAGTTGGGACATTCAATTTGACACGTTTAATTCTATTAAATATGGACTATAGGACAATCTGAATTCGGAATATCAATTGAAATTCTCATTTTACCTTGAACTAGTTATTTCTACTTATTAACAATACAGTAAAATCCTTGGGTATTATAAATGCCTAGAGTATTATTAAATCAAAGTAGTAACTGAGACGAGTGGAAAAAGAGAAACACTTTCATTTATTGGATACTTTCAACAAGAATGGTTAGAATAAACATTTTTAGATGAATATAATAAGGCGGATAGTCCTTAGGAGAAGCGTTCATATAATGTAGAGAATAACTGGATAATCTTGCATGAGAATGACTTATATAAACACGGTCGAGGGATATATTGGTAATAAATGTGTATATTGCTTGGATGCATTGGATAATTTGATTAAAAAAAATATTATGCAAAATTTTATCTTTATAAATTTACACAGTTACATAAAACTATTACGCTTTGTAGTTCTCTGTAGTACAACTTCCCAATTAATACATCCCCAAAAACTATCGATATAATTTTCTTTACCTTGAATACCAAAATCTTTAATATAAGCATGTTCCCACATATTTAAACACAATAAAGGAGTAAATCTACTTTTATGTGGGGGTCTTAAAGCTAATTTTATAAAAGGTGGTGGTGATGGTTTATTTATACCTCCGACGTTCGTTTTCGATGAAGATAAAAATGGTGAAGATGGCGTTGGATGATTATTTGGATCTTTCTCTTGAGTTCTAGTTACATCAAGTGTCGTTCCTATGATAAAGGGTTGAAGGTTGAAGGTTTGGTTTGATAACTTTGGAGAATTTTTTTTAATTTCTTACCTGCATTATATGTGTTAACTACGCGAAGAACATCATTTTCCGTTTCAACTAGCCTACAAACCATTTATATGTTAACTTTTATTCAAAAAAAAAAGGCTTCGATTTTTGCGTGCTTCAGAAATTAGTAAGAATCTTTTTTTTTTCTTACCATGTCCATCCTGACCCAAATATCCCTAACGCCATATTTTTAAACTAATTTGAAATTTAATCCGTTAATAAATGAATGTAATATAGAAAACATACAAAAACTTTATATATACTTTACATGTTCCTTGAAATTTTCAATACTTTCGAATTCTTCCTTAATCTTTTCATACAAGTCAGTACCATTGATGTCTTTATCAGCTTCTTTGGCCTAAATAATCAAAAACCCTAAATTTTAAGAAAACTTTATCAATCAAATGTTTATGTAAGGAAATTGATTTACCGCCAAAGTTTGCAAGAAAAAATCATTATTCCATGCTTGAGACGCATGATTAAATATTAAGGCATGTTCTGACACTTGAGCAGTTTTATCAATTATTTCAAATATAGTACAATCCTGAAATACCGTTTCTAATTAAAATAAAAATATTTCAATTAGATAAATTAAAAATAAAGAGAAAAGATTTATGGAATAAAAAAAAATTTTACCGTTAGTAAGTTTATTTAAATTATTGATAAGAAATCCTTGATAATCAAATAAACTTTGTAAAGTTTCAGGACTAAATAAAGGTTCTAAACCTTTATCGGTCGGATAAGGAAGGGGTTGTAAGCAATGCATGTTACGAACAAATAATTTATTCCCATATGGTATTAATTGTTTCCTTGGTCGATTTATTTGTAACAATTGAGGATTGGTTTTTAACGATGATAAAGTTGATTTATGAAAAGTTTTATTAAGATTTTTTGAAATGAGAAAAAATGCTTGATGAAAAGTCATTTTACTCATTTTTACAAGTTAAGGTTAATATATTATTGTTTTATGATGTCGTGAATTGCATAATTTATTGAGATGGCTATTTGAAAACCCAAAGGCACTCTTTAATACTATTTCTACAAAATGGCAACGATTACTTTTTAGAAAAAGAATTATCAAAAAAAAAATTTTTTTATCTAGATGGGTGGCTTATGCGTAATCACGTTTTATTCTGCTGTAGATAATTGCCATTTCAGGAAACAATGATTAACGGAAAACATTAATAGTTTAATAAGATCTCTGCTATATTACTTAAATTTAAAAAAAAAAGGTTAAATAAATATTTGTTAGTAAAAAAAAATATATATATTAACTTTAATTAAAATTTCAAATGTTTTTTACAAAACAATTTTATTAATAATTTCTATTAAAATTAAAACTTATGATAAAATTTTAAATATACAGTCAACTCTTTCTAAATGCATTCTCTCTAATGCATATACTATATATTTTCTCTCTAAATGTATACTTTCATTCAGTCTTAAGTATATAGAATTCATATAGAAATTTTCTCTTTAAATGCATACCCTCTTTAAATACACATTTTTTAAATTTTTCATTATGCTTCTAAGGAAATGCATTTAGAAAAAATTAATTATATAATAATTATCTTTATTAAAAATAAAAGTTATAAATCTTAAATAATGTATATATATAGATTTAAATAAAAAAATATATATTATATATAAGTATAAATAATTTTTATATAAAAATTAAACAAATTTTATCAAAAACTTTATTAAGTTTAAAATTTATAATATATTATTAGATAATAATTTTTTAATTAAATTAAGTATATATTAAATTTAAACCTTTAAAATATTATATATTAATTATATAAAAAAAAAAAAAATTTATAATTTATATTTATATATTTAAATAAAGTATTATTTAATTTAATTATAATATTAATTATAAATTATATAGTTTATAATTATAAATTAAAATTACCTTTTCTTTATTAATAATATTTTATTTACTATAATAATCAAAAATATTAATTTATAAAATATAATTTTAAAATCTAATATATTATGAATATTATGATTAAGAAAATATAACATTACAAATTTTATTTTTTAAACTTATTTATATTTAATTAATAATATTGTAATTATTATAAATAATTTTACTGAATTTTATATAATAAAAAAAAATTAAATATATTAAAACTTAAATAATTATTAATTTCTATTTATATAACTATCATTTAATTTTAATTATATTATTTATATAAATTAGTATTATATTAATCAATTTATTATATATATTATATTTTAGTTTAATCCAAATATTTTAAATTCTATTTTATAATTACTTTATAATCTAATAATTATTTTAAATAATAATCTATTTATTTTAATTAGATTTAAGTTAAAAAATTATATTAATTAATTTAAATAATTTTACCTTATTATTTTAAACTACTACTTTATACTACTACTTTATAAAATATACAATATATTTAAAATTATTATTCTTATATATCTTATACTATTTAATAAATCTTATTAAATTTTAATATTATTAATTATTATTTATATATTTATAAATTTAATATGTATTATTAAATTTATTAAATATAAAATATTTTATATTATAATATTATCTTATTTAAATTTGATAATTAATTTTAACATAATAATCATATAATAATTTATTTAGTTACTTTTTATAATATGCTCTATTATTTAATTTATTCTTTATAAATTTTAATTTATTTAATTAAATAATATTATTTTAATTATTTATTAATATTAACATATATAATTTTATATTGTAAATTATAATAAGTTAAAAGTATATTTTTTTTAAAATTATTGATCTTAAATTATTAACATATAGGTTTTTTTACAATAAAAAGTATAGAAATTACAAAATTTATTTTTGAATTAATGTTAAATCAAGATTTATTTTATTAAAAAAATAATATTTAGCTTATAAAGTAAAAAAACTTTTTTTGGTAGTTTCTGCCTTTTCTATTACAAAGCATTTATATAGTTATTCAATATCTTTATATTTAGTTTTGTTAATAAAATATATACTATTTATAAATAATTTAAACAAATAATTTTTACTTTTTAATGTATTTAATTTTAAGTTTAATTTATTTTAATATAAGGTTTATTTTATATATTATAATAAATTATCAAATTTTTTATTTATTTTAACTAGTTAAATTTTTAATTTTAATTGATTTTAAAAATATTATTGATATTTTTCTATTATTTAAATTTTATAATAATTAATTAAAAAAATATTTATTTTTAAATATAATATGAATCCTTGCAATAGAAAAAAAACAGCTGAAAAATAAAAGATAAGTTAATGTTAAATTTAAATATATTTAACCTAAAAATTATTATTAATATATAAAAGTAAAGTTGTTTTTTTCCTTTTTTTGTAGAAGGCCTATAAATTTTTATTTATAAATTAAATGATTTTTTTTAGTAAAACAAATTCAGATTTATATTAATTTAAAATTTTTTTGAAGTTTTTTTTTTCAATTGCAAAACATTTATATAATAATTATTTTATAAAATAAATTTATTATTTAATTTATATTTATAAAAATTTTTTAATTTTCTTAGAAATTATACAAATTAATAAATATAATATAATATTTTTGTCATAAAATTATACTATTTAAACTTATAATAATAACTATATAATAGTAAAAAAAGAAAAATTACAAAAAAAATTTTAAGTTAATATTAAATCTAAATACTTTTACATATAAAATACAATTTTCTTTTATAGTTTCAATTATATTATTAAATATTATATATTTAACACAAATAATTTTTATTAATTTAAATACTTACAAAGTAATTTAAATTATAATTAATTTTTTTTAAAAAAAAAATATATTAATTTTAAAAATTAACATTTAAAATTTATTTAAAAATATTAATATTTAATATTTTATATTTTAAAAAAGAGAAATTTAAAGACTGATAGAAGTAATTTATTATAATAATCAAATAATCAAATTTATTATATAATAAAAAAAGTCATTAAATTTTTTAAAATAAATAATATTAAAATGTTTGATTAAAAGCATTAATTATATTAATTAGTTAATTAAGTATAGTATTAACAAAATTTATTAGATATCTGATTAGATTTATAATATAATAAGTTTAAATAAATTTACTTAATTTAATTTATTTATATATATATATATATATATGTTGTATTTGAACTTTTGAACTAAAACCTTACAATCACCTTCAAACTCGCAATAATCACCAAATTTCTGTGGAAATATTTTTATTTTGTGTAGCATTCGATTTTGATAACATAATAATATTGGAACGATAACAAAGAATAAAAATAAAAATATTCCTTTTTTTCAAGCTAATCTCGTAACAAGTGGACGTAAATTAGCCCAAATAGAGAATCATGCATCAAATGAAACTCTTGGCCAAGAATCTCCAAAAAAAAGGACACGAGAACCAACAATTGGAATGTAAAGAGATAAGATTTAAATTTATCCTAATTAAATCTGAAACAAAAGGGTCATAAATAAATAAGTCACATGTCCCCGAATTTAGAATCTTAGAAGTAGGGTTTGATGTCATTTCTGTTAAACAAATATTACGCCTTAAATATAAATTATAAAGATAAACGGTAACATGTGAAAATGGTAAGTCATGTTTTTTTTGAATTTGTGCTTTTAATACACTCTTCGAAAAAACGAAAAAACCTTTTTTATTTGTGTTACAGCCCCGATTCTCCCTTATTTATTTGATAGTAACAATTCAAGTACTCTTTCTAATGAAGCTTTATTGATAAGATATTTCTATTGAACAAATTAAATGTGAGGAATTTTTCTTATATTCTTGTAATAAATATAATTGGACAATTTAACATGGCTTGTAATTTATTTATGAACTTGAATGATATTATCGCGAAGTCGTTAATATCTGCAGTACATGTCGATAATGGACATAGAAAAACTCATTATTATTTTCGCAATTACAATCACTTCAGTGATCCATATAATTCATAATCTTCATCTGACCTTTACATATGGGTCGTTTGCAAGTTACAAGCAATGATTTTAATAGCAAACCTCCCATATATTTATTAACACTTTCTTTTTCAACAATCCACGATTCTCAATAGCGCCCAACATACAATATTCAAGTTTTTCTGAATAATTATTTTTATCAGGAAGAGATTTTATCAGTTAATAAAGTATTTTTTGTTCATGTAAATTTTATGTCGATAAACCCTTACACAAATTACCAGTGAAACTTTTCATTTTTTTCTTTTTTTTGTTACACATTCATTGAATTATTTTTAGACGAGTGTAATACAAATTAGCAGATTTTATTTTCCTTTATAATCAAATAACGTTCTTATTTTATTTACTCCCGATTATTATTGTTCAACAAAAATTAAATTAGTCGGCTCAACTATTGATTGGATTGCGATCCATTTACCTGCGTTAAATTATGATGGCTTTGAATTATATCACATGATAACTTTTTTTTTTGCTAATGAATAATTCAAAATACTGTACATAGACGCTAAGAGAAACGCGATCCACACGTAAATAATTTTTATACTTATTGAACAAACATTTTTTTTTTTTAGACGAGATTTGGAAAATACGAGATTAATTGAATTATTAATTAAATTTTTATTTGTATTTTTAAAAGTTTTGGATCAAATGTATTTATTCAAGTAATTAAGTACCAATTCGTTGCTTAGTCCAAATGTAATAGAATTAATATCTTGATGAATAATCTGCTTTTTTTTTTGACATCTATAAATCACGTACACACTTAGCATATCATATATATATTAAGATATTACCGAAAGGTTTTTCTTATCTAAAAGAATTTAAATATATTTAATTTTGTTGATGAAATTTAATTTTTAAAGATTCCAAAGTTCTGATGTCGTTTTTAATAGTAAAAGCCGCCTCCGAAGTTCAGAGCGCTTTATTAATGCTTCGGAAT